TTAGGACGGCAAGAAAACGGTTGCGAGAACAAGGTTAATGTTAATAAAGAGGCAAGAGTAGAGTTTGCAAATAATTTTTTAAATCAAAACGCTGAATATTGGGAGCAATCCTGCTACAATGTGCAACTGCGAGTTTATCGTCCCAGAAACCATAAGTTTGCATCATGATGAAGAATACCTCCACAAAACTGACAACAGCGGAAGATTTTCTGCCCACCTGTGGGCGTGGATATCATCTTCAGGGGCTAGTATAATTCATATTGTAGAAGGCCGATTGACTGGGAACCGATACGTGGAAATTTGAAACGATGTAATGCTCCCGTCAATCCAAGAAAGATTTGATAATGATTTTGTGTTTCAACACGTAACACTTTATGATTTATCTTTCCTGATCAAAAAATATTTTTTTTTTCATTTTAAGGATATCTCGCCAGTTTACACTGCTCATGTGGTTCATAATTGGCTAGAAGAAAATCACATTACAACGCTTCCTTGGCCGTCAAGAAGCCACGATTTAAACCCAATCGAAAATATTTGGGGATATCTCGTAAAAAAAATATATAAATATGAATTTAGACCAAGAAATAGAGAAGACCTTATTAATGCAATTCAAAATGAGTGGCACAATTTGGAAGAAAATTACGATATTCAAAATTTAATTAGTTCCATGCCTAGGAGATTACAAAATGTTATGGAGAAGAATGGTGGTTCTACCAAATATTAATTATTTTTTTAAAATTGAGTTTTTATAGCATTACAAATGTGTAAGATTATGTAAGATAATGCCTGAGGGAGGGCTGAATGAAAAAATTGCCAGGGCCGGTTTTTCTGAGCCCATCCAACCCTGGTTGGCTCATCTTTTATAATTGTTATAGTCGTAGTATACTATTTCTTTTTAAGTTTAAATTTATTTATTTTGGTTACCCAATAAATAGTTTGTTCTTTTTGTTTGTATTACGAATAAACATGCTTTATATAATTTAAGTTTTTTTTATTAAAAAATTAAATATGTCATACACCTATGATTTCTTGTCAAAATAATTTAATTGACATGACTGACGTAAAAAACCCTACTTACAATAGCCAATTTTTAAGAAAAACATGCAACTTGATAAAGAATCGATTACTTTTTATCGGCCGCAATAGTACATATATATATATTCACAATTAAAAAACTATAATACATAGGTAAAAGCTTTTAAATGTACCTAAATGTCAATTGGTATTATAATAATATATTATTATTAAAATTAAATTTAAACAGTTAATAATCAGGATATAAGAACAAAAGTTTTGTTCAAATAAAATGCTTTAAAAACATTAAGGGGAATTTCTACTTTGGAAAGTAAAAAAAATGTTTTCATTTTTTAAAATACTAAAACAAAAATCATAAATGTTTTATTGTTAAATCCATTAGTAGGTATGTTATGTTATACTTATACAAACAAAAAATCCTAAAGTTACTATATATAGTCAACATTCGTGAATCCACAACTGATTCACATTCGGTTCACAGCCGTGAATTTTACCAAATGATGCAAATGTGAGTCCATGTGAAGTCCGCGTGAATTCAGAAGGGGTTCATATGGAGTTCACAGCCGTGGATTTAACTAAATGACGCGAATGTGAACCCAACTGAAGCGCGCATGGATCCACGATTTATTCACATTCAGTTCAGGTCGTGGAATTTACGAAATGAAGTTAATGTGAACTTCGCGTGAATTCACAATTGATTCACATTCAGTTCAGGGCCGTGGAATTTATTAAATGACGCTGATGTGAAGTTATGTGAACTTCGCCTGGATCCACGATTGATTCACTTCCAGTTCACGGCCGTGGAATTTACTAAATGAAGTTGACGTGAAGTTTGCGTGGATCCACTTTTTATTCACATCCAGTTCACGGCCGTGGAATTTATGAAATGACGCTGATGTGAAGTTATGTGAACTTCGCCTGGATCCACGATTGATTCACTTCCAGTTCATGGCCGTGGAATTTACTAAATGAAGTTGACATGAACTTTGCCTGGATCCACTTTTTATTCACATCCAGTTCACGGCCGTGGAATTTATGAAATAACGCTGATGTGAAGTTATGTGAACTTCGCCTGGATCCACGATTGATACACTTCCAGTTCATGGCCGTGGAGTTTACTAAATGAAGTTAACATGAACTTTGCGTGGATCCACTTTTTATTCACATCCAGTTCACGGCCGTGGAATTTATGAAATGACGCTGATGTGAAGTTATGTGAACTTCGCCTGGATCCACGATTGATACACTTCCAGTTCATGGCCGTGGAGTTTACTAAATGAAGTTAACATGAACTTTGCGTGGATCCACTTTTTATTCACATCCAGTTCACGGCCGTGGAATTTATGAAATGACGCTGATGTGAAGTTATGTGAACTTCGCCTGGATCCACGATTGATTCACTTCAAGTTCACGACCGTGGAATTTATTAACCCATTAAGTTAATGTGAATCTTGGTGAAGTTTACGTGGATCCGCATTTTGTTCACGGCCGTGGAATTTACAAAATTACGCTGATGTGAATTTATGTGAAGTGAGCATGGATTCCACCGCAGTACTGCTGCAGCAGGTGTTACCAGATTCTGTCAAAAAAAGTCGCTATAGCGATGCATCATACATGTATACAAAAATGTTTGTATATAGCGACTTAAGTCGCTATAGCGATGTATACATTTATTTGCATTTACCTTAATTACATCTTTGAATTTATCTTAATTACAAAATGACCCAATTAACAATAATAATTAATTATAATTATTAATAATTGTTAATTATGTCATTTTCTAATTAAGATAAATTCAAACAAATGTACCCATACAGCACCTAAGACGAAAAGCAAATTAATTTGCTTAGTGAATACGGCTGAATATCATATTATGAAAGTTTGGTTACCACGGAAATTACATATTTCAGATTTAACAAAGCTTTTTTATTAACACCTGTAGGTATCATTCGACATACCCTCGTATTACAGTACACATGTTGTGTGTACTACACATGCGCAATAGTCTTCTAACAGTCTGCTTCTAACCCTAAAATTTATATATACTACGTAGTTTGCGACGAGAAGGAAATCATAGAACAAACCAGGAAAATTTCATGAGGAAGTAATTATTTGTGTTTGTGTTTGATAATCAAAGGTAAGTGTAGGTATAAATCCAGCTAAAGAACTAAAACAGCCAACATATATAAAGGCTGTTTTCAAGGCCACCAGACAAAGAATCCGAAAGCTAAGGACCCAAGTAAGATAACATATCATAGTGATTCAGGTAGTTGTCTAATATTTAAAAATTTCGTTCATACAGATAAATGGAACGGAACAACAACAGGCCGATGTCAAACAACGGACCGATGTCGAACAACGGGCCGATGTCGAAAAAAGCGTGGAGTCATTTGAAGAGTCGTCCGATACAGATACGGATACAGATATATCCGTATCTGTATCTTTGTAATCATAATTGTTTTTTTAACAATTAATTTTTATTTATGTATAACATATTAATTTTTATTTATATATAACATATTTATGTAATATTTTAATTTTTTTATACTTTTTTATTTCTTATTAAGAATTTATGTTTATTTTTTTATCAAAATATGTTTTTTTTATACTTTTGCATTATTAATAATGCAGAAGTATATAATTATTACTATTATTATAATAATTATTATTACTCTATATTAATATTTACTAAAAATAGTAATAATTATACACTTTTGTATAAATCTATATAGTATATACTATATATACTAGGTTCACAGTACCTTCAGATACCCTTAATTTATGAAGTCACGGTGAATTCATATAGGTTCATCCGAAATCCACTCGTGAATTCATATGAACGTAAAATGAATCCATATGAATTCACAGTGACTTCATATTTTGTCGTCATCTGAGGGCACCCTGAATCCACGATGAAGTGAAATGAATTGAAAATGCCTTCATGTGAATCCATTGTGAATTCACGAATGTTTACTGGGTAGTAGCAGTAGTAACTATCATTAATCTATAAATATTTTTATATTTACCCTCTCTGTGAAGAATTCTTCCACTCATTCTTCACCACAAATACCAGAATAGGTAGGTATTTATCCAATCTAAAACAAACCAAAAGGTTACTTAAAATATCTGATAATAATTAATAACCCAATTTATTACATTATTATAATGCATTACATGCATTAAATATTGGTAAATAAATCTAATATGATATATTAATATTAATACCTAAACATACCTATTATATTTTTTTTGAAAATAAAAAAATACAAATAATCTGACTTAATAGTTTAACCAAATAATTACTTAGTATAATATAATATAATAATATAGTAATTATTGCCCTATTGGTTTAATAACACACTTGCACAAACTCACCTCAATTAAAAAATTGTATTTCGTTTATGACCTCAAGTTGCAACTGACCTGTGATTCCCCGCCATACAATAGTAATGGGATTTCACTTATATAAATAGATTTAGTTGATAATTTTTCATTTTTAATAGAAACGTAATAATAGCAATACCTACCAATTAGTTGTATTCTAAAATCACAGCAAAAAACTATCTAAAAAGTGTTTTTTGTTCAATTCGCCGATACACCACCGATACAACTTTTGACAGCTCAGCAATAATGCCTAGAGTTTGTGCGATCCGTACCTAAAACGTTCAAGGTCATTCGATATAAGGGTTTTATTTTAAATATTAAAAATCTATATTTATTGCCATACGTTGAAATAAAAGTCAAGCTCCAAACGAATATAAAATTAATTTGTTTATAACTAAAACATCTAAATATTGCAAAAGGTTTTACTTTGCATTACATACTTTACAACATTTTGGTTCAAAAAAAGAAGAAGAATTTTGCTGGCCAAATAGCTTTTAAATTAAGCTAAAGGTCATTCCTCTGAGCACAGAATTGTGTTCAGAATTAAGAAGAAGAAGAAGAATTTTGACATTTTTTACAATCTAACCTCACTTATTTGTTTTTGAATTCGTTCCGGAACGAAAGTTTAAATACTTAGTTAAAAATGGATTCGGATGCAGTTTTGAATGAAAAAAACTCCAAAAAAGGTGGCCGACATCGTAAAAAGCAATTATATAATTCGATATTGCAACAGATGGAGTTTTATTTTTCCACATCCAATCTTTCAAAAGATAGGTTTTTATCGCAGTTAATTTCAGAAGATCCATGTAAGTATACAAATAAATAAGTGTATTAAAACTAAAACAATAATTTGCGTTTTAGATATTGAATTGAGTGTATTTTTAAGTTTTAATAAATTAAAAAAGTTAACGGAAAATATTGAAGACATTCAAAAAGCTCTAAGTAAATCTGAACTAATAGAGTTGTCAGAGGATAAGTTAAAAGTAAAAAGAAAAACGCCTTTAAAAGTTAAAGAAAATGTGGATGAGTGCACTATTTATGTGGAAAACATTAAATCTGAAGCAGACCACGATTGGGTGAAAACAGTGTTCTCCGAGTTTGGAAATGTAGTTTATATTTCGATACCAAAGTACAAACAAAGTAAAGCAAACAAAGGATTCGCTTTTGTGGAGTTTGAAACTGAATCTGAGGCACAGTCTGCACTGCAATACTTTGAAAATATCGGGTGTAAAATGCCTTCGCATGTCAATCCTGAAGAATTAAAAAGTATTGCAACTTTTGAAGGGCCAGACCAAAACGCGGGGGAAATCGAAAACGACGAGAATAACGCGAAAAAAAGGAAATTTAGTGAGAATGAATGCCCACCAGAAAAAAAATTAAAAACTGATGACGCTGAAAGGGAAAAAATTACAGAGACTGAAAAAAATACTGAAAGTGAAAAAGTTACAGGGGAAAACGAAAACAAAAAGAAAAAGAAGTTAAAGAAGGAGTGCAAAAAGAAACATTATTTTAAAGAATTGGGCTTACAGATACTATCAAAGTAGGTATTTTTTAAACTTAAGTGTTTTATTTTTTAATACTTGTAATTTTTTTTAGAAAAGAATGGAAAAAAATGAGAAATAAGTATCTGGATTTACAAAAAAAGAAAATGAAGGAATTCAAGCAATATTTAAATAGAAACCGATTTTCACAAAGGACTTTCAAAAAAACAGAAAATTTGGAGATAATTGAAAATGAAGAAACTGGTTTGGCTACCAAGTTGGAATACCAACCTGGACTTATAGTAAAAGTAAAATTACCTGAAGTTTGTGATGATTTAAAAAAATTGAAGGTGAGTTTGCTTAAAAAATATTTATTGTTTATTATACTTAAACTTTTTAGAATGAAATTAAATCCCAATCTACAGAGATAAAGTATGTGGATATGCCTGTAAGCATTCAAGAACCGGAAGTGTTTGTTCGTTTTGGAGATGCTAAAAGTGCAGCAGAATTTTGTCAAAATGGCAAGTCAATTGGTGAGAAAATTCTACTTAAAGACGAAGAGGAAAAACAGTACTGGGATAAAATAAACAATGATAGAAGCATAAAGTTTTCTAAATGCACCAAAAAACAAAGGGGGAGGGACAAGTTAATGAAAAAAGCAGCCAAGGAAGTAGCCAACCACATCAGATTTGATGAAACAGATGTAATGTAATGTTATTTTAAGAATAATTTTTACAATAAAATAAAATTTTAAAACATTATTTGTTTTATCAGGTTTTAAAAGAAAAACGTAGTAAGTTCTTTTTAATTTATTAAAATACATTTCAGATAAAGGCTACAATACACTTTATTGTAAAATATCTTTTATGGTACAAAAAACTCAAGACAATGTATAAACTCTACAAAATTATATTTAAATCACTTAAGACACAAACTGATAGTAATTAATAACACAATTCTTTATTTGTGGAACAAGTTATCAAAAAGCATAAAAAATATGGTAAATAGCATGTATCTTTCATATTAATGTATAATAGTAATAATAAAAATAAAATGCTTATTTAAAAAATTATTTAACAAGATAAACATTTTTAGTGCCTTTTGATAGGTTGATAACTACCAATTCATTGTAAAAAAACATAAACCAACTGGAACAGTCTCTTCCACAACAAAAAATAAAATCTACCACTTTCCGCCGCCCCCGCGGCCGCCAAAACCGCCGCCGCCGCGCCCGCCGCCCCCTCTGCCTCCCCCGAAGCCGCCGCCGCCTCGGCCGCCCCCGAAACCTCCGCGACCGCCGCCGCCCCTGCCGCCTCCGAAACCGCCGCGGCCGCCGCCGCCCCCGCGACCGCCTCCGAAGCCTCCTCTGCCGCCGCCGCCCCCGCGACCGCCCCCGAAGCCTCCCCTGCCGCCGCCTCGGCCGCCCCCGCGTTTCGTCACGCTGCCCGGAGCCTGGGGCAGGAACCTCTTCAGGGGTAGGAGTTTCGCTGGATCAATGTATAGCTGAAAATAAATAATTAAAAAAAAAATTGGTAGCAAAATAATTTGAAAACACTGAATACAAAACATACTTTGGATTCCTAAATAGGGAAGAATACAGCAAGTTGTTTAAAAAAATTTAGCAATTTTAATAATCTAACCGCTAGAGATTAATAATTTCCTTATAATTGAGGGCCAGAAAAATAAAAAATAAAGGAAAAATATTTTTGTTACCTATAAACTCGAAAAAAAAAAAAAACGTTTTAATTGCTGGGAATGCTTTATTTAGTCTTAAATTTTAGTATTTTAAAAATTGTCAAAAAACCTGTTTTTTTCCTAGGTCTAAGAAAAATTGTCTTTTTTGGAAATAAATATCTTTTTTTGAAAAGTAGCAGTCATCAACTTAACAATATTTTAATATAAAAAAATATACTTTATTACAGAAAATAAAATAAAACTAAATATTGAATTAAATTAAATTGATTAAACCGTTTTTGTAAACAGGAGTTTCCAATTTCAAAATAATGAATGATTTATAAAGTTAAATTATTATTTTATAAATCAAAGTGTCAAATAAAACGAAAATTTGTATTTAATACAGCACCAAATGTGTTTTTTGCGGCCCGGTATATATGTATATAATTATTATAATCATAATACTTTGATCATAATCAGCTTCGGGAATTCACTTTTTTCTCGATATCAATGTAAATAAAATGAAAAAAAATGCAAAAGTCAATTTTTCTGAAAATTTACCAATTTTTCCGGATATTTTAACACCCTACTCCGCATATCGGTAAATCCCCGAAAAAAATAATTTAGTAATTGTTTTTTACTTTAACTGGTACAGGCAAAGGTATATTTTTCATTCATATATCACATAATATTATACAACAAAAAAAAACGGATTTTCTCCAACTCTATTTCTGCCTTTTTACTAGTGGCTAAACAAAGCAAATTATAAGAATATATAAAAAATACGCAAAAATGTGAAGAAAAAAAAGTACAGGTGGTAGAACTTAAAATATGTAAAAAATGCTACAAAGAAGAAAAAAAATATTTTACATTTCTCAGAAAATTTCATTCTTGATTTTGCTAGAGTCCAAAATGTTAAGAAAACTAAAAAGTGCAAATTAACTAAGTACCTAAAATACTTTTTTCATGTTTGTAACCAATAGTATACTAACCATATCCAAGCTTCACCTGATTTAAATCAAGTGATTTTTTATTTTAATCAATAATTTAAATCTGCTTATTTTGTTAAATAAAATAATAAAGGAATTTACAAAAAAATATATGACGGTGGTTTATTTGTTTATAAAGTAGTGCCAATATAAAATAATTAAAAAAACATTTTTTGTTGATTTTTTAAATAAAAATCATTGAATTTTGTTCTTTTAAATCATGATTTTTTAGAAACCTGGGACATACTTACTATATATTTTTTTGATGAAGTTTTGAAATTTTTTTAATATAATTTTATAAATATTTAAATATCCTTAAACTTTTTTTTTTAATTTACTTATAAAATATTTGTTCATGGTTTTTACATCTTTCTTATGTGTGTAATATCGACTTACCTTTTGATTTTTCTTGAAACTATTAGCTTTAACATCATCACTCAGTCTTACGGTAACAGAGTAATCCCGGATATTCCCGAAAATCTCGTCGATTTTCCCGACTTGTTCCTTGTTTTCCAGATAAATTGGGGCGTTAAAAAATGGCACATCTTCAAGCTCCACCTTGCAGACCAGCTCATCTTGGCAGGGATAGTTGAAGTATCCCAAAGGGATCACCTGGTCGGGAGGACCTTGGTCAAAATTTCTGCCGCCCCCTCTACCCCCACCAAAACCACCGCGACCGCCCCCACCGCGACCCCCGCCGCCGAAGCTGTTCCTTCCGCCGCCGCCCCCTCCTCCTCCAAAACTGTTGCGGCCGCCCCCACCGCCGCCGCCGTAGCCACCGCCTCCTCTACCGCGAAACGACATTCTAAAAAATAAAGAAAATGATTATTTTTGCATGTTTACCACACGCTGAAATTTAAAATTAGGATAAACATGGACAAAAACCACGTGTGCACAATAAACATAACCTCAAATATTATACATGAGCAATTTAATTCAAAAACATAACTTATAACTAACTAGTAGTAATAGATTGATAATATATTGTTCAGATGTATATAATGTATCTTAATTATTTAAAATTGATTATTAAAATTGTTATTACATTCCTTTTGTTAGCATGTGCAATATTATTTATTTTTTTAACTATAAACACAGAGACTTTAATAAAATAGTTAAATTGAATTATTTCAATTATTAAAGCAACCATTACGTACCTATTTATTACAATATAATCCTTTTTAACACTAAACTAAACAAATTATAACTATTTTCGTGTTTTCAATGCACATATAACCTAAAATTTTAAAACCATATATTTTTTTCAGGTTGGTACCAACAACTTTTAAATTGTTTGGTTGGCAATAATCTTCTTACATATTTCAGTCCTTTTTAACGAAATTTCACTTCAAGGAAACGACCTTTAATAATTGTTTATTGATTTATTATCAGTTTAAAATCGTTTAAATCGTTGTAAAATCCGTAATCTTTAAATAAACAAATCATGCGTCATTTTTGTTATGATTCATATGTCACGTGACGTATTTTCTGTCAAAATATTTTGCTTTGTGTTTGTAATGGTGAAGTTTTGTTTTTCTTCTAATCTGCGGTTTTCCTGGAATAATTAGTAGTGTTTCCTATAAAGCTTCCGGCACGTAGCATAAAACATAGATGCTCTTAATAGGTGAAGAACTTTTGGCTTAAAATGTTGTTTGCGGAGAAAAATATTTGCCCAAACGTTACGACGTTATCCTACGACGAAGCTTGTTTGGATGTTTTTAACAATTTAAATGAGACTGTCACGATTTTTGGACAATACGAACAGTGCCATAAGTGCGATTTTATGAATTTGACTGAACTGAGCCCGTTAAATAGCACTTCTATAAGAGTTTCGACTAGGTCCCCCTTGCAGCTGTACTATTTAAGGGGCAAAACACCGAATTGCAGCTTCGATAACCTGTACTATGAGCACTACCTGTATGGATGGAACATAACAGATAAATGTAACCAGCCGTACATTAAACAACCAGCAGATAATGCATACTTACGTAAGTATAATTAAAAATAATAAAATAATATAAATAAGTGTGTAATTTTAGCTATTTTGACTGCTTTTATTGTACTTTTTTGCTTTGGGACTGCTTGGTATATGGTGAAATGTATCTACAAGAACAGTCATAGGTTGAGATCTTTGTTGACATGGCATAGTGAATTGGAAGATGTAAGTGTGTTTTGTAAGAACTATATTTTTGATTTAACACAGGTTTTAAATATCCTGAAAATGTAAAAACATGGCTTTTTTATTTACCTAGGACTTGGGTGGTTCTACCACGGGAAGTTCCATTGTTATTGAGAGATCGCCATCAATTAAAAAACACCCCAACAGAGTCAAATCGGTGGATGTTTTCAGAGGGTTATGCATTATGCTTATGATTTTCGTTAATTATGGGGGTGGAAAATATTGGTTTTTTGGCCATTCATTGTGGAATGGCATAACCATTGCTGACTTAGTTTTTCCATGGTAAGTTGTATGTTAATAGTATTTTCTACTGGTTTTCATTGTTGAAAAAATATGCAATAAAAGTTCTACCAATTCATGGGAATTACCTGTCTACTTTAAAAAAAATGATTTTTTCGCTGAAATTTACTAAGATTATGTCAAAATAAACATTAGACTGGGCCAAAAAAATCAACTATTTTTTTTTTGAAAAGTATATCGAAAATGGTTTGGGGCGACAAAAAAAAATTATTGTGAAAGTCCATAATAATATTATTATTATTATTATTAAGAGGTCTATCATCGCAATTTTAATTTTTTTCCCTCATCAAGTTTTTGTCTCAGAACTCCCAAACCATTGAGTTTAACAAAATTTACTTAAAAATATTTTTTTAAGAAAATTAAATGCTCTACAAAAAAGGTTAAATAAAATTTTTTGTCAGATGAACAGTTTCCTTAAAATCATGCCCTAAACATTAGTATAGTTTTACATTTTGATCTTTTAATTTTGGAATTTTGAAATTCACGTAAAAATTAGTACCCGGAAAAAAACCGATAAATATTCTTATGTGAAATCAAATGCTTTACAAAAAAAGCCTTCACTCAATCAAAAGTTATTCAAGGTTAAAGTTGAAGTCAAAACGAAATTCTTGCCAAAATAACTTTTGATGGAGTGAATTTAGCCAAAAATGTTAAGAGGCTTTTTTTGTAAAGCATTTGATTTCACATAAGAATATTTATCGGTTTTTTTATGGGTACTGATTTTTACGTGAATTTCAAAATTCCAATGTAGAACTATACCAATGTTTAGGGCATGATTTTAAGGAAACGGTTCAACTGACAAAAAAATTTATTTAACCTTTTTTGTAGATCATTTAATTTTCGTAAAAAAATATTTTTAAGTAAATTTTGTTAAACTCAATGGTTTGGGAGTTCTGAGACAAAAACTTGATGAGGGAAAAAAAAATTAAAATTGCGATGATAGACCTCTTAATAATAATATTATGGACTCAAACTTTCACAATAATTTTTTTTGTCGCCCCAAACCATATTTTCGATACAGTTTTCAACAAAAAAAAAATAGTTGATTTTTTGGCCCAGTCTAATAAACATTCAGTAAAATTCTCAACTCTTAGTTTAAAATTCTCTACAAAAATGTTCATTTCTAAATCCTTTTTTTAATAGATGTTTTTAGGTTAAAAATGTTGAAATTTGATTGTATTATTAATATATATTAAAAAGTTAGCTACCTATATACTTTTAAGTATTATTTTTTTATTTTTAAATTATTGCGGATGACCTAGTCACTGTAGAAAAAAACAGGTTATTTAACTTTTTAGGGAATATAATACATAACAAATATTTTATTTTATTTGTGGTCAAAAAGTTGATATTGCATTTACTACATAAAGCATATGTGGGGTTATGTTTAATGAGCATATAAATTTTTAACTATTAAATTTATAAAAAAATGTTTATAAAAAATTTGTGAAAAATTAAATAAAAATACCGTAAAAAATGCGTATTTAAAAAATATGTTTTACCAAGAGAAATATTAACAATTAAAAACAAAATATATAAAAAAATGGCTTGGTACCTACATAGATTGCAAAACCAAATAAAGAAAATAAATCATTTTCTTGAATTTTTATTTTGGTATGGGTATACCTATAATCTAATAAACTTTTTAGGTTTTTGTGGCTTATGGGCTTGTCTCTATCGATTTCCCTCCAAAGTAAACTTAGGAGGGCTGTACCCAGAAGACAGCTCGTAATACAGACGTTACGTCGCTCGTTAATATTAATATTTCTTGGCATCATGATAAATTCCAATCAAAACACTCAAACTATTGCGAACCTAAGATTCCCGGGGGTTTTGCAAAGAATCGGAATTACTTATTTGATTGTGGGACTGCTTGAGGTGGCTTTTACAAAGAGAATTGAAGTTGATGTAAGTAAACAATTTTGGATTTTATAATTCTATTAGTAATTCTTATCATGTGTACAGTAAGTGCCTTTTAATGGAAACAAATACATATTTGATTGTGGTTGGCTTATCAATGTTTTTATTTATTTATTTATTTATATATTTATTTATTTATTTATGTTAATTATGGTGATTGAAATTTGTTATATTCTTCGGAAATAATTAAGATTAATTATCAAATTGTTAAACATACAGTAGTGGCCATAATTAGAGCAACCACTGTAAAAAAAAATCTAAATCCAAAACGCCTTTAAGAAATTTTGGATAAAAATACTTCAACATATATTTCAGTTTACGTGTTTGAGGGTTTTTTGAAAAATATTTTTAAAGTCCATTTTTTTAATATTAAAAAAACGTTTGAAAATTAACTTTTAGGGAAATTTTTTTTCAAGTAAATAAAAAATATGCTGTTAAAGACCGTATTTTTGTTAGTTTACTCTAAAAATTTTGTACAAATCAAATGAACAGTAACGAAGATACATCGCTTCAAAGTCGGTAAAAATGCCCCCTTTTTGATTATTTTGCTGAAAAGTGGTCATTTTTGACGACTTTGAAGCGCTGTATCTTCGTTACTGTTCATTTGATTTTTACAAAATTTTCAGAGTATACTAACAAAAATACGGTCTTTAACAGCATATTTTTTATTTACTTGAAAAAAATTCCCTAAAAGTTATTTTTTGAACGTTTTTTTAATTTAGAAAAAATGGGCTTTAAAAATATTTTCTCAAAAAACCCTTAAACACGTAAACTGAGATATAATAATAATAATAATAAAAATAAAATATAAGTTGAAGAAGTATTTTTATCCAAAATTTCTTAAAGATTAATAAAGGCGTTTTGGAGTTAGATTTTTTTTTACAGTGGTTGCTTTAATTATGGCCACTACTGTATGTTATATTTGATTTATATTTATATAATATTAACGTTAACTTATTAATTTAAAAGGACAAAAAACATTTTTATAATAAAAAATAAACTGTTTTTAAATGAATATTTGAGCATAATAATAATATCTCAAAAAGTATGTGTCAGAATTTTTTTTAATTTAAAATAACTAATATTTTTTAGTTTATTTTAGCAGTAGTAAATATATTTATTGGAAAAAAAATAATAGTTTATTTTATGACTTCTATTTATGATATTTTATTGTGATTATTTCCTGTACTTCAATGATTCACTATTATTTATGGTCTGATTATGTTGTTATTTTTTTATGATTTTGTTATTGTTATAAAAAAATATATTCATTCATTTTTTAAAACAAATAGTTATGAAATAAAAAAAAATACATTTATATATTTTTGTGTTATGTTAACTATTTTTTAAAGAACTTTATTTTTGGTCAAGAACAAGCCAAATTTTAGTTTTAACTATCAATAAAACTATAGATACAATATTAAAAATGATTGGCAAAATTCATAATTGAAACTTTTTCTGTAATTTAATTTAATAGCATTTTTCATTTCTTTTTAAGTTTAATCTTTCTAAATTTACCATTTTGTCAATACAAAAGTAAAATCTTTAATACTTTCTAATAAAATTAAAGCTGTCCTCAACATTTTATGTCTATCTGTCTTCTTTGTGGTCCTATGGGATAGTTGCAGATGGCGCCATTATACAACTGTCAAATTGGTAGTTTTTTGCATGATACTTTGTATTGTTTGAAAGAATTGGTATCTTGGAGCATACAATATATGAACATAACCTTAATAGGGCGATTCCGAGTAATCTGTTAAAATATTTTCAGTTTCTAGCTACAGTTACAGTTACTTACCAAAATTTGTAACTAGATACAGATACATATTTTATTGCAGTAACTAGTTACTGATACAGTTACCTTCAAAAAGTATCTAGATTCCTAAAGATACATACAAATTATTTTTTGCTTTAAAAAATTTAAAATAAAAATAAAAGGGAATTTTAAAGTGACAACAAAAATATACATGTTTATTATTTTTATTTTTTTTTTTTTTTTATAATATTTAATTTAATAGTATATCATGCATCAAGTTTGATAAACGCCATTTTATAAACGAATTTAATTTAGGCACGAGCGAGTGTTTAAGTTAATGAGTGTATAGAAAAGTTTATAAACGAGGTGCATACTATACTTTTCCTACGACAAAAACTTTTTATTATCTTAAAATTATTTAAATCAAAAATTTGCAGTTGCAGTTTTATTTTGACCTTGTTCGTGTACGCATCGTTAAAAAAAATAAAACTAAATTTAATCGTGAAACTTAAACTCAAATAGTGTAAGGTGTCACATAATGGAAGTGGATGATGAAAATGCAGAGGGAGAATTTACCATACCGGCCTATAATAAGAAAAAACGTAAAAAAAATAACGACTCAGATACCACTGAATACACAGAAAACGAGATCGCCGAAATTATAGGAGTAAACAAAAACAAAAAGTATACAAAAACAACAAGTGATAAAAACGCTCGTACAAAAAACCAAGCATACCACACACAATCAGATTCAAACACAAGTTATAAAGCTACTCATACACGTCAAACAGCAGAAACAAACAACAACCCTACAACAAGTAACTCATCACTTTCACCGAAAATGCAAGCTATATTTAGAAAAACCTATGAAAACGTTTTCTATATAACTGCTCCAGATGAACTAACAAGAATCCAACTGGCGGACAGATGGGCAACCTACTTTAAAAACTCAAAGGAAATAATCTTAAAAACACAAAAAGGATTTATTATCAAATCAAACAATAACAAACAAAACACCTTAGCTACCCTTAAAATATTGAAAGATTGTGGTTTTATTAACACATACGAATTATCCAATAATACCCCACAACAAACAACTTCAAAAAAAATACATAACCAATCCTTCTCGGCAGTGATATCGAATGTTGACATAGATATTGAAGAAAAAGAAATAAGTGTTGTTTTAAAAGATAACGGAATCGAACACAGGTATTGTAAAAGAATAATCTCTAAAAAAACAAACAAACCCTCCTTATACATAAGAATAATTACAGGAGAGATTAAAGCATATGAAAAGATAATTAACGAAGGCATTTACTACAAATTTCGTTACTATCCAGCATACCCAAGTCATCCTCCTGAACCGCTACCAATACCATGTGCAAAGTGTTCCCAATTTTCCCATACAACTGAAAATTGTAACACAGAGGCAAAATGCTCGAAATGCGCCGGAAATCATAAAGATAGGGAATGCAAAACCAATTTACCCCCATCATGTACAGCTTGTAGGTCTACAGAGCATGTTGCTTGGTCAATTAAATGTCCAAAACGCCCCATGAAACCTATTGAAGGTATTCCAAACATTAAAATTCGTTCCTTAAACAAAACTACAAGTGAAATAGACAAGAAAATTACAAAAAATCATAAAATTCATTCGGCGGTGACAATTCATGATTATATTATCAATACGTACATAAAAAAAATAAATAAACCGACAAATACAGACAGGCAAGAACTAATTTCTAGATTGCAAAAACGTTTTATAGACGGTTTTAATATAAACACTGTGCCAACATTTGTGGGAAATCGCCTGTACATTTTGATGTTCGATTTAGATGAAGAAAACAGTCACTCCCCAACAGAACCCAATGATGGAATCCAAATTCATGTCAACAACAATTAAATTTATTTATTCAAACATCAACAGCTACATTACAAAAAAACATTTAATTAACCACTATATTGAACAAAATAATATTCAATGCAGCATGTTTGTAGAGACAAAAACAAACGAAGATCGTTCCATGCAATATAGGGATTGGACAACCATATATAAACATGGCAACATACTCAACAATAATACAAGAGGGGGTGCTTTGGTTCAAGGTGATCGCAGGCTTAAAATAGGTAAATCAAATCCTCCACACTTTAACAACCCCTACAATGATGTGTTACATTTTACTATTCCTTACAAAACCGACAAAATACACTTTTTTTTGGTTTACATGCACCATAGTAATAGATTAATAGAGGAAAATTTATTTACGAAAGCATCACAGTACAAATATGCAATCATCATAGGGGATTTTAATGTTACAAATAAAAGAAAAAAACAAATACAAAACTTTTTAAACAATTCAGATTTCACCCAAATCCACACCCCTCCTACTTTTATAATGCCCAATAATAGTGACACTACTCCAGACATTTTGCTCTGTACAAAAAACATCATTAACAATATCACAGAAGTAGAACTAATACCTGATTTAGGATCCGATCATCTTGCCATTCAATTTAACTTTGATATAGGAAAAAATCCACAAACCATTCCAGAAAACATCAAATATAATTTTAAAAAAAGTAATATAGAAGCTATAAATAATGAAATCATCCAGACAATGAACCTACATGAGAATATTTCTCCTCAAACAATTGACTCCTTTCTAAAAAATATCACCAAAATTACTCTAAAACATACTCCTATTTTAAAAACAAGCTTCTTTGCACATACATTACCACCATTCATCATAAAACTAATTAAAATAAAGAAACAACTATATAGAGAGATAAAAATTAATTACGACCCTATACTTAAAAGAAAATACAACGAATTAAATAAGGATATACATACATTAATTCTACAATATAGGGCAGATAAATATCTAGAAGCATGCCAAAATATCAATGTAGCAAAGGGTCGGTCATACTGGGGTGAAATAAAGAAACTCTCTCGATATAAAAAATATAACCACATTCACTATATAAAAGAAGACAATAAAATCTTACAAACAGAGCAAGAAATTGCTGAGGCCTTTGCAAGACAATTTGAAAAAAATTTTAAGTTTACGGAAAATGTAAGTTTTGATGGAAATTATAAAAATAATACACATAACTGGGTAAGAGATAACTTTACTCAAAGAAACTTAAATGAAAATATAGAAAATGTAACTGAAGACGAATATTTCGAGAGTTTGAACGGGAAGAATACGGCACCAGGGCATGATCAAATTCCTAGATTGGTTTTAAAGCAATTTGACCAGGAAATCCATGACCAAATAATAAGAATTTATAACTTCTGTCTGCATAATAGTTATTTTCCGGAAGAATGGAAGAAAGGAAGAATAATTACCATTCCTAAAGCGAACTTGGATCACACTGTCCCAGGCAACTACCGGCCCATCACCTTATTGCCAGTTGTCGGAAAAACTTTTGAAAAAATAATCAAAAATAGATTAGAACAGGCCATTGGACATAAAATCCCAATATACCAATTTGGATTCAAGAGACGAACTTCCACTACTCACCCACTAATTGTCTTAACATCAAATGTACAACAGAAGAGTATAGAGGGAAATAAATCAACTGCGCTGTTTATGGATATTTGTAAAGCCTTCGATTCCGTATGGCACGATGGGTTGCTGAAAAAATTGGTGAAATTGGAAAGCCCGAATTATTTGGTATGGATAATAAAAGAATTCCTCACACAAAGGAAAATACAAGTAAAAATTGGCAATACACTATCCCCCACCTTTTCACCAGAACAAGGAGTGCCACAAGGCTCACCATTATCACCGTTCTTGTATAATTTATTTTGTTATGACATGTACAATTTGGACCACTTAAACATAAACAGACAGAGCTATATTCTCCAATATGCTGACGACACAGTTTTGATAACGCATGGAAAAACGACATCAGAAGCAAGTGTGAAACTACAAGAACTAACCAATCAGGTATCGTCATGGATGTCTAAATGGAGAATCCTACCAAGTCCGTCAAAATCACGCCTACTACTGTTCCATCACAAAATAAAAGAAAATTCGCCCACAATAAATATTATGCAAAGTACAGTGGAACCATCAACATCATGTCGTTACCTGGGAATTTTGATAGACACTAAGTTAAACTTCAAACAACACACAAGCCACACCAAGACATGTATTATAAACAGGGCCAAGCACTTTAGAAGCTTAACTTATAAAGACCAGGGAATAAATATTGCTGTGGCAACCAACATTTATAAACTTATCTGTCGCCCAGTGCTGGAATATGGATCTGTTCTTTTTATAAATTGCAGAAAACCCACCCTAACAAACATAGAGATAGGCGAGCGCACAAGCATAAGGAAAATTACAAAAATCAGACATCCTCAAAATTCCTTATTCAACCCATCCAATGAAGCCCTTTACCATATCACTGGAATACAACCCATACAAGAACGATTGGAATACCTAGCGAAAAAATTTGCCAACAAACCCGAAAACCTTAATGTGATGGAACCTTTGATTCTTAAAACACAACTCGAGACAACACCAAGGAGAAAATACCCAGAGAAATCGTTGTATGACTCACTCAGGGAATTGACAGAAGATTAATGAAGATATTAACAATATATTTAATTATAACATTTTTTTTTTTTTTTGTAAAGTACAGAACATAAATTAAAATATAGTATTTGTTATATACAAAATTGTAATTGGGCAGGAAGACGAAAGTCGTTAGCCTTTTGGATTTCCAATAAAGTTTATTATTATTATTATTCAAAAATTTGTATAGAGCGCCATCTATGAAACAACAGGGGAAACTGTCAAATGTCACATTTTTACATTTTATAAACACAATTATAAAGATTATAAATCGAAATTTATGTTGAAAATTGACAGTTTTTCACAGTGAAAGTAAAGGAAATGTTTTATGAGGACTTAACAGTAGATTCCGTTCCCGAATTTAAGTTATAGTTTACTGCCGGCGAAATTAAAAGGTCAGTACAATGTTCATATAAACTTTTCAAATATTGGCGTTGAGAAACTATTTAATTTTTTGTATTTTTGTATTGAGATAATAAAATAATTTTCACATTTAGTATTATTTTACAAGAAAGGCACTTTATTTTAACGATTGTATGACATTTGACAACCGTCAACTAACTTAAAACTAACTTCAGCCCGTGACTAAAAACCTGTTGCTAACTTCAGCCCGTGACTAAAGCGCCGTAAAGCCACAACTTGTCAATGTGTATTTAAAAGGTCACTTAGTGTTATGGATGCCATTTTATGCACGAGTTTTATTAGGCACGAGCGAAGTTTGCGAGCGAGTTTTTAATAAAAACGAGTGTCTAGATATATTTATAAAACGAGTTGCATACTATACTTTATCTACGACGAACAGAAATGAGAATTTGAAGTCAATTTTAATTTATAAATATTTTACATTTGACAAATTTAACCTCACTTTTTTGCAATTTATAATAACGCTAACTTCAACCCGTGACTAAAATGCCCAAAAGCCACTGTTGTTAACTTCAGCCCGTGACTAAAACATCATAAAGTCACAGCTCATCAATGTAGGAATAGGTAAAATAACTTATATTTTATAATATTTTTTTTAATAAATAATAGTCGCAGTTTAATTAAAAATGTATCTTTGTATCTTAACACGCCTAGTTACTTGGAATTTGTAACAGTTATAGTTACTAGAATGGGATAAGTAACTAGTTACACAAATAGATACATAAAAAGTATCTAGATACTGTATCTAGTTACTTGTAACTAGATACGTTACAACACTGCCTGTAAGCAATCTCTATAATCTTCTAAAAAATGCAATAAATGAAGGGTTAACCCTATCTTTTGTACTATTGAATTTTTAGAAGCATTAAATATATGGTTAGGTTATACCACAGACCACCAAAACAAACGGACGGATTTGTTTACGTTTAAAAAGCGAGTAAAGCATAGTTTCACATTCTAAACACCGTCGAAAGAAACACGGCTTCCAACGTTGTCAGAAGTATAGATTACACGCCTTTTTGGACATTCATCATAACATAATGAACATTAATAATTACCAGTAATTCGTTTGAATAATAAAAAAATGTAAAAAGTATTTGTTCATCATTTTTTTTGGATATTTTTCTCTATTTAAAGAAAGTAAATCATTTAATAATTATTAAAATTAAATATTAACAACGTTGGTAAATTCGTCATATTTGACAGCATATAAAAAGGTTTACAGCTTGTTGTTTTGTGTTTTCGTTTGTGTATTTCTATCGTGTTAATTATGGAGTTTAAATACATTATTTTTTACTAAAAATAACAATACATGGAAATATCGTTTGTAAGTACCTACCTACTTATTATTTTTTTAATCCCAATACGTCACTGGAAGAAAACATAAAATTCTATCGTCAATTTAACGCTTAGACTGTGACCGTTTGTTGACGTCACTGGAAGAAAACATAAAATGCTATCTCAAATTTGACGCTTAGAATGTGACCGTTTGTTGACCGCAAACAAAGCATTGTTATTGAATGGCAATGCGCCGTCCATTTGTTTTGGTGGTCTGTGGGTTATACTGATAGAGTATATAAACCTTGGATCATACAATACGTGGATGCTTATGGAACATTATTTTCAGAACGTTTCCCCCGTCCAAGATCTAAAATCTTCGTGGCCGCAATGGCTGGCCGTGGCCTGCTTGGCGACGATACACACGTGCGTGACGTTCCTGGCGCCGGTGCCGGGGTGCGGGCGCGGCTACCTGGGCCCGGGGGGGCTCGACTCGGCCGGCCAGTTCCGCAACTGCACGGGAGGCGTGGCCGGCTACGTCGATCGCGCCCTCTTCGGCGAGCACATGTACCACAGGCAGCCGCGACCCAACACCTACGAGACGCGGCAGACGTTCGATCCCGAGGGCCTGCTCAGCACCCTGCCCGCCGTTCTGACGGTCTACTTGGGCGTGCAGGCCGGGCGGATCTTGAACACGTACCAGGCAATCAGGGCGAAGGCTGCCAGGTGGATGGCGTGGGGCGTTTTGTTGGTAAGTTTTCACCGAAATTACAAAATATTGTTCTAAACATCGAAAAAAATTCTCAATTTTGATTTCAAGTACTTCCTTTTTCATTTTGAATCACTTTTTTTAAATATCATTGTAACAGAGTACTTAACGCTTTTTAAAAGAACCTTTAAAAATTTTTCTCCAACTTGATTCACCTGGATGGTATCAAAAAGTATTTTTTTTTACTTTTTCATCAGTAATGTTCTACAAATATTTAATTGTCCAGTAGATATACGAGGTGTGTTCAGAAAATAACGGGAATTGTTAAATTTCGCGGGTTCGGAGGGCCCGGTTGTCATAAAGTTTTCTTTATTATGGTATACATGCCCCCGAAGTATGATAAAAACTTTAGCTGTTATCATTGTTTACTTTGTATGTGGCAGCCGCTAAGGTTAAACCTGTTTTATGAGCTCGGCTATTTTTCGTTCGTTAAAAGAAATGGATCAAAGAATTTGTATCCAATTCTGCTTAAAAAAATGAAATAAATTCTGTGAAATGTTAACAAAGGCCTATAGTAAGTCTGCTATAAGTAAAACAAGAGTTTACAAGTGGTATAAGAGTTTCCAAGATGGCCGTGAAGACGTTGAAGATGAACAAGGATTTTACGTAATTTTATGTAAAATCCTTGGAAGATGAACGCACAAGCACCTTAACAACTGATAAAAATATGGAAAAAGTGAAATAAATGGTTATAAACCATCAGAGAAGTCGCTGATGATGTTGGTATATCGATTGGCTCATCCCATGAAATTTTTTCGAATGTTTTGGGTATGAAACGCGTGGCAGCAAAATTTGTTCTAAAATTGTTAAATTTTGAACAACATTTTTGGCCAAAAACAATACTGTAATGATGCCTCAGCCTCCATATTCGCCAGACATGCCTCTGTCTGACTTTTTCCTATTCCCAAAAATAAAGAGAACCTTAAAGGGCCGTCGTTTTGCAAGCATAGATGACATTAAAAGCGCATCGCTGAAAGAACTAAAGGCTATCCCAAAGATCGAGTTTTAGAAGTGTTTCGAGTATTGGAAGAAGAGCTGGCACATGTGCATAATATCCTATGAGTACTATTTTGAAGGCGACAACATTAATGTAAACGAATAAATAAATATTTGTTTCAAAAAACGAAAACTCCCGATATTTTCTGAACACACCTCGTAATTCATATTATGGGACTTAAAAGAAGATAAATGTACTATATATTTATATATATTGAAATATAAGAAATGGTGTAATATTTTTCTTGATAAAAGTTTTTCAGTCTACTTTTATTAAAAATTTTTTAGATAATTAAGTAAGTTTTTTTTTCATAAAAACTATTTAATTTTAATTTATTATAATTTGTTAGGCTATAAAAAACGCAAGAAATATGTTATAAAAGTAGAGATAATTTTAATAATTAAAAAGTGTGGATGTTCCATCCACAACTGTCAATTATTAAAATTATCTCTACTTTTATAAAATATTTCTTGCGTTTTTTTTATTTGATGTATAGCCTAATAAAAGAAGAATATATTTGACAATTTTGATGCAAAAATAATATATAATAAATTACCTACAATTTTTTTTTATAAAAATAGTTTTGTGATTTGTCATATCCGTATGCTTGATTTATTAATTTATTTAGGTTTACATATTACCAATAATAATTTAATATAGTACCTATAAAACACCCTATATTATACAGAGAGTTTAAAAATTAACAAAAAATGAAAATTAGAAAAATAAGTATGTTTTAAATTTTAAAAAATATTAATGAAAAATTAAATTAATTAATTACAATTTTTTTTTATAAAAACAGATTTGTGATTTGTCACATCCGTATGCTTGATTTATTTATTTATTTAGGTTTGCATATTACCAATAATAATTTAATATAGTATAAAACATCCTATATCATACAGAGAGTTTAAAATTAAACAAAAAATGAAAATTATAAAAATAAGTGTTTTAAATAAAAAAAAATATTAATGAAAAATTAAATTAATTAATTAATTTAATTGCTGTTGAATTAAAATTTTATTTCATTTATTTTTTATTTTCTATAAATTTGTACCTATTTTAAGATTTTTTATATATAAATAAAAATAATAAAATGTTTTTTTAAATTTTCTTTAATAAATTTGATGTTGATTCAGCAAAAATCCAGCTGGATTAAAAACCCTGCTGGATTGCAATCCCAATGGCGTTGCATTTTCACACGTGCCCTTATTTCTAGTGCCTCCTCGGTGGCGCCCTCTGCGAGTTCAAAAGGGACGACGGGATGATCCCGATCAACAAACGCCTCTGGTCGCTTTCGTACGTCTTCGTAACCGCCGGCATGGCGTTCGTAATTCAAACGTGTCTTTTCTTGCTTGTCGACATAACGAGGAAATGGGGCGGGCGGCCCTTCTTCTACCCCGGCATGAACGCCCTGGTGCTCTACGTCGGCCACGAGCTCTTCAGGGGCACCTTTCCGTTCGCCTGGAAACCATCCCAGACCACGCACGGTACTTATTTGTTTATGAATTTGTGGGGCACTGCCTTATGGGTGTCCCTCTCTATTTTCATGTATAAATCTAACCTGTTTTTGTCTATTTAAAAAATGTACGTTTTATATGTTAACACAGTGTACTTTAAGCCATATACATAGCAATAATCTACATACTGTGTGTTAATTATTTACATTATTAGACTACACTAGTCAGTCAGATTTGGGTACATTTATTTTTGAAGTTTTAATTATTTTTGGACTGAATTAGAATAATTTGGACATTTTAGTTGGGAAACTTATAAAATTGTGATTATTTAGCTGTTTACATGGCTTGTAAATATGTTATTTTATTATATTGATGCATATTACATACATACTTATACTATTTCTAAACTGTTAATAAAGTATTAATTTAGAATGAACATGACTTATTATTTGACATTACTAAACCATTTCACGCTAGTAGCGCCACCAATCGGCTGTTATCATCGTAACAAAAGTACCACTTAATAATCAGCTGTCAAACGCTTATGTTACAAACGAGTGTTTTTGAGAATAATTGCCAAACAAATAAGTCGTCTAAATTTAAACAGCATTTAGCATTATTAAAAACGTTGATTAAAAAAGTCTCCACTCAATGGTAAAATACCATTATATTATGTATTACATATACCTAATATTATATTACCATGAATTCATAGGTATATTTTGTTGTTTAAAATGAAGTTGTCGGCGTTTTTTAGAGAACTCAAATATAAAAATGGCTGATTTTAAGGTTATGTTTGTGCAAAAATTATTTTTTACCAATTTCTTAAAAATGTCCAAACTTAAATATAAATTATATTAGGTAAAGTTATCATTAGTTAATTCTGCACCAACAAATGTACTTACCGAATTGGATCCTTTGGCAAAACATGAAAATGCAACGATTTAGTTCTTGAATTTTATTTACAATTAAAAACACAATAATTCACCATGATCCCTTAGATAAAATACACACACTAACGTAACTATATAAGCATTTCAGCGTTGAGTTTCTTAATCAATGATATAAGGAATAATCAATCGAAATCGAGTAGGTACTAAAAGTTTTTTAATTTTTCTCTTGCAACGTAAAACACAAATAACGTGCGCGATTTAGCTGTGCAATTGAACAAAATTTGTCGAGTAAGACTTCTGCATTCCTCTCTTTTGTAAAAAAACTACCTATTTATTTAAAAATGATGTAGGTACAGTTCGTATGCTTTAAATGTATTGTTGCGAAAACCCGATACTTCTTAACCCTTTAGGACCTGACTTTTTCTTTTTGGTCAAAAAAAATATTTGATATTATTTTCCGTTATTTTCATGTCTTAATAAGTGATAAAAACAGCTTATATGAAATTTTTTAAACTTTTCGAAAAAAAAATTCAAAATTCAAAATTGTACACATATGTGACCATTGGGCTTTTAAGGAGTCAAATAAGGGTTTCGTTGAGATGATAAAAATATTTAAAATGTCTATGTTTTTTCCCGTTGAGACCTGTTGTGCACAAATGTGAACATGGATTAAAAACCCTTCAGACCTGATGTGCACATATGGGTACACCCGGTTTTTGTTTTTTTTTACGAGTTACATGCATTGACACACATTGCAAATATATTCAAATGGTAAACAAAGGTATTATTTCATTGCAAAAAAAAACCGGAGATTTATTCGATTTCAATTTTCATATAATAATTACAAAATTGTATCCCTTACCCGGCAGTTGGCCTTCCATCTTGGAATTTGAATTTAAATGAATGATTTCTCTACCAGCTTTGATAGATATGGTATAGATGGCTCCACAAAAATTTAAAAATATTGTACACAAACGTGTACAACGGGTCATAGGATGTCTTTTCAGTAAAAATGTATTTAAAAAAAAACATCAAACGGAGCGTACACAAATGTGACCAAAAGGTCCTAAAGGGTTAAACCAAAACAAAGAAAATAACAAAGCATAAATTAAAATTAAAAAATATATACTTTTATGGAAACTCTTAAAATGGATAATACCTTAAAATTACATTAGTCATAAAAATTACTAAACCGGCCATTTTTGACATTAACGTCGAATTTTGACATTATAAACACCCAATTTTGACATTTCAGTTTAGTGACCTGCGTAAAAACAAAATTATATCCAATCTGTCAATTTTAGAGGCAACTTTTTGCATTGCAAACGTCAAAACACAAAAACATGGATCTTGAGAAAAAAATCGTACAAATCGACGAAGAAACAAAAAAAGAGAAAAAACGCATGGAAGATAGAGCCAAACAATACGACATCCAAAAGAAAATGACCGAAGCAAGGCTCAAAATGGAAATGAAAAAGTCCGAGATAAATAAGTTGGATGGCGAGATTATAACCAAAAAATTGCAAGTTCTGGCTTTGCAGGCACGTGTGGAAACGCTCGACAATCAACTTGAAAGTTCCGTGAAAGAATTAATTGTGCAAAAAAATGTTTTATTAGGGAAATATAGAAAGCAACACGAAATTTTCAACGAGTTTATGGGTATTGTGATGGAGTTCGTTACCGATAAAACAGAAATCTGCACGAATAACAACATGGCTGACAGTTCGTTGCAAAAAGAATGTTTTAAAATTAAAGGCGAGATGGAGGCATTAAAAATATACGCCAAATTCCAGAAGGACAAAATCGACGAGTTAAATAAGTTAAATTTAGTTTTTAAGTGAGTTCAAAGTTTGTTCTACAAAGTGATCGATTGTCTTGATAATGTTTAAACAATAGGACATGTTGTCGCCGGTGCTTACCTGTGTAATCATGACAAATAAACTCGAATGGGTAAGCCGTTCATATCTGGCGATAAGAAGGCATGTACAGGCTTGAGTAGGTATAAATTCGGCAGGTCCTAGACATGTAATTTAGTGTTATAGGTAGTTCTGTTCTAAGCTGTTTAATAATAAAAAAATAAAAAGGTGAGGTGATTTTTTAATTGTTTTTTTTTAATTTATATTGTTTAAACATGTAATTGAAGTAGCTATATTATACATAGCTACTTATTGATAGTTAAATTTATGGATATAGATAAAATTACTAGCTTTTGATATAAAAATATTCAATATTTTTTAATTGTATTTGTAGTACCTACGTTACGTAAAAATTATACACGTCAATACATTCTTTGAAATCTTATTTATTAGTATTACATTGCTATAGCAATTATAATTAATTTTTAATATTATAAAACAATTATAAAATAAGTATAAAAAATTAAACCAAATTTTTTGAGTAGGTATGTAGTTTTTGTGTTTTTAAAATTTGATTGGTTTAAGGCTATTTTTTATACATCTCGAAAATAGTGTGCAATAATCTACAAGCGGGTTTTAGGGCCAAAAAGAGAAAACTTATATAGTTATATTATTTCTGAAACGGTTTGAGATAAAATAATGTATTTTTTCTACTCCTATTATGGCCTATGACCGTTCTAATATCACTTTTATCTATGGAATGACATTTATTTTGTAAAGTGTTACAGAATTAAATATTCTATCATCTGATTACAGAATATACACTCGTGGCGACATCTCTGTTTTTAATATCTAACAAATATTAGACAGCCAACCTCACTTTCTTCCAATTAAATTATTTGTCTATAGTATTTTTTGGAAACGTAGAAAAAGTATAGTCTGAAACACGTTTGGAATTGCATATTCCCCTCTCGTGAAACCGTCAAACTCGCCTTCGGCTCGTGTGACAAACTTTTCACTCGAGCGGAATATGCCTTGTTCCAAACTTGTTACAGAATATACTATTCTTGTTAAATTTTTTTTTTAAATTGATTTTTTTATTCGAATATGGTGCATTTTATTGATGTTTAACAAAAGTAGTTTTAGAAACCACACTATTTTCGGGACCCTCTGTATATAAAAGTGGGTGAATATATTGAGATGTCCCCCGAGTGAAAATGATTATTTTTTATTTTTGGTTGTTTCACTGTTAGTCTAGAATGGGGTTTTTGGAAAGCCACCACTTATGTTATGTATGTTATTACTAGACCTGGCCAGGTCTAGTAATAACATACATAACATAAGTGGTTCTGCACTGATGCAAGAATTTTAAGAAATCATACATTTTGAATATTAGAACTTCACGGAGGTTAGGATTTCGTATGATTTTTATTAAACATCCCTTTGTAGGTATATTTGAAATAAGTTATTGTATCTTTTGACACCTTAATACATAAAATATTTATTAAAAAAATCTACTTACTGAGATATTACACTTCACGGTGGATAGGTTTTTAAATAGCAAATTAATGAACTTAAACTTTTAATTTATAAAACAGCAACACTCTCACCTGCATATAAATTTTAAGTGATCTTCAAGAATCACATGCATCTATAATGTCGTAAACAGAGGTTTCTGCTTCTTTAAAATGATTAAAGCGCCATCCGTTGCATAAACTTTAAAGCAAAAACAGATTCACGGATGATAGAATCAATTTTTGTAACTCCTACATAAATGGTTATAAAATTTATTTCTTTTAATTTTTAATAATTTATATTTGATTCGATTGCTTTGGATGTGTTTAATTTACTTAGTGAACTGATATTTTTAGTATGCTTTTACTACCTCAGATATTTGAAAACATATAGGTTAACCTAGAAAGAGTAACAGTCACGGAGGATAGGTTTTGGAATATTTAAAAAAGTAATTAATTGCGGTTAAAAATCTGGAACCCTAGCTGTAGTATCTACTTACCAATACAATTTTAAAAACACAAAAACTATTAAAAAAATGTGCCAATTTTTTTATTTTTATTAAAGTTTTTTATTTTGTTGGCCTGTGTAAATTTTACTGCATAAAAAATTAATTTATCAGATTTTATAAATTAATAATTACTTTTTATCTAAGATAAGCAACATAAGAATCGAAATCCAATATAAACGGAAATAGAAAGTAGTAGTATCGTACAGCAATACAAGTAGGTAAAAGGTTTTCTTGGTTTCCCAGATGTTTTTTCGCGAAAACGAAACATTTCTTCAATCATTGGATACGAGAGCTCGTGACAATGGAGACCTGGTGGAGTGCAACATCGCTAAAGCCGTCGCCATGGTTTGCCTTTTCGCGGCCTCCCTTGCTCTGGGCACACTGCCCATCAAACTGAACGCCTGGCTGAAATGGGACACCGACGCCAAAAACAACGAGTACGTCAAGTTGCTGTTGTGTTTTGGGGGCGGCGTGTTGTTTTGCACGACCTTCATGCACATGTTGCCTGAGGTGGTCGAAGGTATCGAAGAACTGGATTTGACAGTGAGCACGAATTACGAGATAAATTTGGCTGAGCTGCTGATGTGTATTGGGTTCTTTACCATGTACTTCGTAGAAGAGTTGGTTCACAAATGGTTGCACAACAGGGAGGATATGAAGGCAGTGAGAAAGAGCATTTTGATACGTCGCGGTGAAAACGACTTTATTGCGGAATTGGAAAGGAAGAGCACACACAAAGACCACGATCACAAGAACGAACACAGCCACGTCATAGCGATTGACAGTGATACCACAGTAAAAACAATAAGAGGTCTTCTTATAGTCCTAGCTCTCTCCATACACGAGTTGTTCGAGGGTCTGGCCGTGGGATTGGAAGGGTCCAGTACCAATGTATGGTACATGTTTGGGGCTGTGAGTGCACACAAGTTCGTAATAGCATTTTGCATTGGTGTGGAATTGATGGCGTCCCAAATGACAACAACCATGGTGGTCGTCTACGTCTTCACTTTTGCGGTGGTGAGCCCATTGGGCATTGGAATCGGTATCGCCGTGAATAATATCGACCATTCCTCCACGGAAACTATTTCGGTCATTCTGCAAGGATTGGCTTCTGGTACTTTGCTCTACGTGGTGTTTTTCGAAATCCTGCAAGCAGACAAGAAAAGCGGCATAAAGCAGTTTTTCTCAGTTTTTGTTGGGTTTATTTTTATGTTGATGATCACGATTTTAGCTTAAGTAAAGGATGCAATCTCAATATTCCTTGTTGGTGGAATAAGTTTTGTAAAAGTAAATCATCCCTGTGATCTACTTTTTGTATTTTATAATAGAATACGTATTTTTTGTACTTAGTTATTGTAAGCAGTATTTATTTATTGTTTGTTTAGAGTTTTGATTTTGAATATATTTTATTTAACTAAACATTTTGTGTTTTTTACTTTGAGACCTTGTTAGGAAAATATTTCAAGCACGAGCTAAAATTCTTATAAGCTTTGGGTTTGTGGACACTGTCGGTGATAAGACGTGAATAATAACGAACACAGAAACTATTTTGGTCATTCTGTAAGCAGACAGAAAAAGTGGGAAAAACCTTCCAGTGGGAATAATCTTAGGATAATGCTATATTTCTTCTAGTCATGTTCTAAGAATGTTCTTCTAAAGAACATGCTTAAAAGAAATATAGCATAATCCTAAGAAAATTCTCACTGGCCTATAGGCAGGTTCTTAGAAGGTGCAAAGTTTAATGGTAAAAATTAATCCACTCTAAACATATGCTTAGAATGTTGAGAAAGTAATTGCTATAGAAAGTTCATTTAGGAATATTCCTGAAACATTCTGTTAAGCATATTCAGTTCAGTTAGGTACCTATATAATAGTAAAATATACCATAATCTACGTATAAAGGTACCTATACTTAGTATTAAATACTAAGTAAAAAACATAACCCAAAATGTTTTTTTATAGTTATTTGTTAAATTAAAACAATATTCGATAACAAAAATACTTTTACTATAGGTATCTAAATTATCCGGCTTTTACATAAAATCTTCCATCCAACTTAAATACAATGAAAAATGTTTTTTTTTATGAAGAACTATTTGGTTTTTTCTTTTATGAAGAATTATTTTATAAGGAAATGTTTTGTTTTGTTATATTTTATTTTATGTTAAAAATAAATATTTATTAATTTGTATGCCGATTTTTTATTTCTGAATTAACATTTTTATGTATAATAATCCTAACTATCTTCAACTTTAATCTAATCTGACTTATCCCACAAAATTTTCCAATTTTACTTTTTATGAAATAATGTCATACAACTTATGGTTTAGAGGTCAAATTGTTTATTTAATATTTTTAAATAAAAATATATATGTATGTCGCAAAATTTTTTAAGGGGACGACAAATACATTTCAGTGAAATGTATTTGTCGTTCTAATATGTTGGATTCTACATTCGTAAAATTATTCAGGAGGCGACAAATACGCCTCACTGTCATAATATGACAGTGAAATGATTTCACTGTCATATTATGACAGTGAGGCGTATTTGTCGCCTCCTGAATAATTTTACGAATGTAGAATCCAACATATTAGAACGTGGGTATCTGACATATTCGGAAATATTCTCAAAAGATTCCTAGCAGCTCCATAAGAAACCTACTAAGAACATTCCAAAAACGTATTCTTAAAAGGTTCTTAGACTGCTTTTTAGGAAGGTTTTAAGAAGCTTCTAAGAATATAATTGCATCATTAAAAGGGTATCTATTGAATGTTTTAAAAGTCCCTAAGAACATTCTTAGCAATAAGGGAAGGTTCTAAGAATATTCCATTATTCCGGGTCATATCTTCTTAGAAGATTCTTAGAATCAAATTTTGCTATCAGGGTTAATGTATGGAATTTTTAATATCTTACAACCAGTTGATATTTAAAATCAATAAAAATAGTAAACTTATATAAAATAAAGGAAAACCCAACAAACTGTTATACAAAATTCTTAGAATACTGTAAAATACCTAAATATAAAAAACATTTAAACATATGAATACAAATTATCTTATTTTCCACATAGGTCAGTTAAATGTTTTCCCGAATTAAATATCTTAAATATTACTTTTTATTTGTATTAATATTGATTAAAAATGATAATATTGACAAAACTTAATTACATTTTTTATCAGATTTAAATTGTCTCAAGCTCATTATTACATTGCATTTTTTTTTCAAAGACTCGCTCGTTTTAATGAATTGACGTTTGTTGAGATTGTGATTGTTTTATTACAATGAATTGGCTTAATTAACTCGTGTTTGGCCCACGAGTTGTCATATAAATAAAAAAGGAAGAATGCAATTTATATGATTTACAAGTGGCGTAGTGGGTGAAGATGCATTATTTAAAAATAAATCTTTCTACTGGACAAGACCGTACTGCTGTTTACAGTTAGTTTGTTAGATTAATTTTCACGTTTAGTATTATCTTACAAGAAGGCACTTAATTTTAACGATTGTATGACATTTAATGATTAAAATCTGTTGCTAACTTCAGCCCGTGACTAAAGAGCCATAGCTTGTCAATGTGTATTTAGAAGATCACATGGTGTCATGGAAACATGTACGATAATGAGCGTTTTAAAGATGGGAGTAAAAACAATTATGTGGGTACTTATTGTAACCATTACGTGCTAATTATGATTTTTGTTAATTATTTTTTTGCGTTCATTGGTTTTGCAATATTTGTTATATGTTATTAGGTAATGTGTTTAAGACGTGCTAAGCCATAACAAATATTTAACAGTGCCATAACTAAGCATTGGTAAATTTAACAAAAAGAAAATACTTTGGATTGCTAAAGAACGTAATAAACTTATATTTGTATGATAATAACACTTATTATTTTGCCATGGCACAATGGTGTTCCAATTACAATAGTTTACAGCCAAAATCTACATTTGATGCCACTATTATTTTCTATTGTATTTTGGCCTGCTTAACTAAAAAACTACAATTAAAATTTCGATACTCGAATTTTTTTTTCATTTATTTTCGAAATCTAACAAAAAATAATAGTTGTACAAACATAACCTTAAAATCAAACATTTTTATTTTAAACGACAAAATATACATACGAATTCATGGCAACATAATATTATATAAAATACATAATATAATACCCGTTTTTGTTTTTTACTGTTGAGTGGAGACTTTCTCAATCAACTCTTTTAATAATGCATAATTATAAAGGTCTTTAACTTTATTATTTCTCTTCGAAATACTCATTAATTAAATTTTTGTATTATTTGTGCAGTTATTAATAATTATAATTATTATAATAATTATTATTGTCGTAGTGCCGATAATTGGGACGTTTACCTTATTGTTTTTTTTGTACCAGACGTGCCAAATCTTAGACACGTTCATATATTTTTAAACACTATTTAGTTCCAAAGGCTTTTATCATTATTGATATTAGCGCAATAAATTGTTAATTTGATAATACGACAACAATTTTGCAATTTCTTCGAATTAATTTTTTTTTAACTACTTAAATTCCCAAAAACCAATTCCGATTAGTGATTTAAATAAAATATTTACAGTGATAAAGGAATTTTGATCGAATTTCAAGAAAACACTTTAATTTGCATTTAGAAACGAGTTCAACATTTTTTGGTTAACAGTTTTTTAATAGTACCTACTTAAATATGTGTATGACAATTATCTTTATAACAATCAAAGGCAGCAAAATAATTTTGTTTGTAACATAATCAATCACATTTAATTCTAAGGATTTTTTGAAGGACTTTTTTAAACGGCGCATAAGTTTTAATTATACAGTAAAATCCTGAAATAACTATTTATTTATAAGTCCAGGAAATGTATAAAAAAGTATAAAAATCACACTCATTTTTATTGTTCTGTATTTAATTAATGTCTACATCTATGTTTCCTGGAAATATTGCACACTATACTTTTTTACGACAGATATTATTTAATTTATTACTAAATAATTTAAATATTTGTATAGAGATATAAAATAGAGTAACCAAATTGGTGTTAGCAATCTATTTCTGTAATAATCGAAATTTTTTCCTTGAAAATGGACCATCACTACTATGGGTACTGCTTTTTTCTACTCCCACCTTTAAAACGCTTATTATCGTACATGTTTCCATGACACTAAGTGAACTTTTAAATACACCTTGACAAGTTGTGTCTTTATGGCGTTTTAGTCACGGGCTGAAGTTAGCAACAGGTTTTTAGTCACGGGCTGAAGTTAGTTTTAATTTAGTTAACAGTTGTCAAATGTCATGAAATCGTTAAAATAAAGTGCCCTTCTTGTGAAATAATATTCCCAAGTTGGAAATACTTACGGTAGTTATAGGTATTTTTTTATATATGTCGCTCTATACAAATATTTAATTTAAATCATTGTTAGACAATAATAAGTATTTATTTAAATTATTTTATGAGTGGAGCCTTGAGTTTTTATAAAAAAAAATTCATTTGAATAAGGAATCAATTAATTTAGATAACATCAAATTAGTATCTTAAAATTATTTTGCAACATTGTATCATTATAATTAATATAAACAATTAACTATAATAATAATAATGCAAGTTCATTACAACTATTTGATTATTTAATATTTTTATTTCGTGAGCATTTTTAGATAATTAAAATATTTTTTTTAACTTAAAATAATTAATTAAATACATATGTACATATTTTGTTAAACGTGGTCTTAATTTTTTAATACAACATAACCTATAATAATATATTATGTATCAAGTTTAATAAACGCCATTTTAGTCACGAATTTAATTTAGGCACGAGCTAGCTTAAAAGCGAGTGTTTAATTAAATGAGTGCCTAGAAAAGTGTATAAACGAGTTGCATACCATACTTTTTCTACGACAAATACTTATTATTATTATATTATAAAAAATGATTTAAATTAAATATTTGTATAAAGCGACACCTATACGAAAATAGCGTAACCATCCCAATAAACATTTTTGACGTAATTTTCACCATTAACATTGCCCGTTAGTATTTTAATTAAACTTAACAATTATTGATACTTTAAATATTAAAATAGGTTTAAAATATGATTAATTTAGGAAAATATTTTCTCCTTTGATTTTGTATTACTATAATTGCAAAGTATTATCACAAAGTATTAAAAATTACACGGGAAATGTTAAAGGTACAAAAAGTGACAGTTGTATTTATTGGAATTCCCGTTAGAATTTCTAACTTGGGAATCTAACGGCATTAAAATTTTAAATTTTTCTGGATAAATCAAAATTTATCCCTTGAAAATAGACTAACAATCGATATAAAAGCAGTTTTTCACAGTAGAGACACTGTACCCAAAATTTTTAACGTTTTATCAGTTAAATTTAGTTAACTGCACTAATACGGCGATATCAAAAGGTACGTACAAACTAGGGGTGTCAATCCCGGGATCTTAGTTATAAGTTACAAAGAATAATAATTTTCATATTATAATGCTCATAAACATATATTTAAAAACACTTCATTTTTTTGGGCAGTTCAAAAGTGAAATTATTATACACCGCCCTACAATAATGAAAATACATTGAAATTACATCGCGTTTAGCATAAAATCGGCAAAGAAAATGTTAAATTACAGATCACTGTAGAATAAATTTATGTACATAACCTATAATATAACATATTTCAAACTTCAAACTTGATAATTTCAATGTAAGTTACAGCCCTAATTGGAACTCACCAAGGCGCGATTGATAAAAGAAATGGAATTATTTGTTAATGACAGTAAAGGTGGACCCGTACAATGTGCCTACGAGTTCTTGAAAACCATTCTTCCAAGTTGGAGGAATGAACGATATCTTTCGAACTTCACACTAGTTGGAGGCTCCAACTAGTGTGAAGTTTGAAATATGTCGTTCATTAGTTTGTTCCTTTATTTTAAATTGGTTTTGAAATTAATTTTATTCATTTTGCGTTCATAATGACTTCATTGTAACACCGCCTTTGTAATGAGATACTTTACCTACCCAAAATATGACTTTATAGGTTGGCTACTAGGCTGGTTCAAAAAAATCAACTATTTTTTTTCTTCTAAAATTTTGCACTGAAATTTTTTCACGGTACCTACCCAAAAAGACACCTGTGAAAACCGGAGCTCTTAATTTTTCTATTTAGAGGTCGCGCATCGAAAATTTCTATTTCCCATTTAAATAACATGGGAAATTTTGTTTTGTTTCTTTATAATTTTCTAGCTCACAAACTAATTAGCAGATTTTTATGCGGGATATATATTCTTGTGGGAAATTGAACGCTCTACAAAAAATGTCTCCTATCATTTTTCGATAAACCAACGAAGTCAAAAGATATTCAAAGTCGAAGTTTAATTTATGTCACAATTGCATTTTTTACTTCAATTTTAGGCAAATTTATTAGTTAGTTATTATCAAATATAAAAAAAAATCATTCAAAAAATCAAAATTACCATGTTCAATGAGCCTTTTAAATTAATTCCACTGAAACACCTACTATTTCTGGGAAGAATTCATTAAAAAGGATTTTAATCGATAAAAAAAAATAATTAATTCTTAAAATAGTAGGTGTTTCAGTGCTTATTGAACATTGTAATTTTGATTTTTTGAATGATTTTTTTTATATTTGATAATAATAGTAATAATAATAATTTTGATTTTTTTGAATGATTTTTTTTTTATATTTGATAATAACTAACTAGGAATTTGCCTAAAATTGAAGTAAAAAATGCAATTATGAAATTTAACTTCGACTTTGAATAACTTTTGAACTCGTTGGTTTATCGAAAAATGATGGGAGACATTTTTTGTAGAGCGTTCAATTTCCCATATGAATATATATTGCGCTTAAAAATCTGTTAATTAATTTGTGAACTAGAAAATTATAAAGAAACAAAACAAAATTTCCCATGTTATTTAAATGGGAAATGGAAATTCTCGATGCGCGTCCTCTAAATATTAAAATTAAGAGCTCCGGTTTTTACAGGTGTCTTTTTTGGTACCGTGAACATATTTCAGTGCGAAATTTCAGAAAAAAAATAGTTGATTTTTTAGAACCAGCCTATTGGCTACTTTAAACAGCATAATATTTTGTTTATTGGTTATAATATTTTTATGATTTTTATAGAACTTACGAGACTTTTCTGGCAATAAATTTTGTTTAAAACAAAAAAAAAATCCTTTTTTTCTTCTGTAATATTAACAGCCGCTTATTGTAAATAAGCAAATTGCGAATCGATTTTGACATTAACTGTCAAAGCAATGACTGTGATACCAACTATCTAAAGTAAAATTCGACCAAATTAAATTTAAGGTATAAAATTAATTTTTTTATAGAAATTTTGCAAAATAGATAAAATAGCATAAAGAAGTCATGTCATAAGACCTTTTGTCGCACTCGTCCATTAAAAATTGTCCTCGTGCGACAAAATGTCGTCTTATGACATTAGTTCTTTAATATACTTAAAAGAACATTATCTACAAAGAAAATAAATGATCATTAAAAAGCTTAACATTTTGACAAAAAATCCAACCATCCAAACCATTTCGGGTGCTTTTTTGTACGCCAGCGGCTAGCAAGTGTTCTGTGCAAGTGACTGAGACCCGGTGGAAAGGGAGACCGCGCTAAAGACCTCCTGCAACTGACGCGGCCGTCTGCCTGCATCGGCAGGAGCAACGGCAGCAATTCGGCGACGGACTCGATGGTGTTCTTTGGTCTGTTCGCTGTGCTGCGGTCTTCAGTTCGCAACCGACAACCGCTCAAGAAGTACGTGCACGGTGTGCCGCGAGGTTCCATTCTGACATGCCCGCCAGTGGCGCAAGTTACACCGCCAGTTTTTGTTAGTTGCCTTTATTGTTTTTAGACTTGATTTATTCATTTAAAAAAAGGTAAATATTTGTTTTATTGATAACCTTTATTTTTATTGTTTGATATTGTCTTAAGGTTTTATTAATATTATTTTTTATTGTTAACAGATTAATTTATATGGCTAGACAAATATAGTATTGTTTATTATTAAAATATTTGTTATCTAATAAATCTGTAATTTTTTAAAATTAATTAATAAAAAAATTAATACCTATTTTTAATTATGGCAAATTTTCTTAATTATATAAGTAGTAATACATAATATCTACATACAAATGTACACATAAGTTTAAATTAGTACCAAATCTCAAGGTAATTTATGTTTTTATTTAACTTATGGTTTATTTTTAAAACATGATTATTGAATTAAATGTGGATAAGTTATAACATTTCAAATATTTTGTAATAATTAAGTAAAATACATTCTTTTTTATTAATTTTATAATACTTGTAAACATGTTTTATCCATAACAATTTGAATATGCATATATATATGGGTTCTTTGATTTTTTTGGGGTATTTTCAAATTGTTATGCCTAAAACTCAAATCGATAAAAAAAATCCTTAAAAATGAAAAATAATGAATAAAATTTTATAATTTTTTTTTGTAAATCTTGAAAGTTATGAAAATTATGGAAATTTTATAAATTTTGGAAATATTAAAAATTTTCAAAACTTTTAATTTAATAATCTTGTAAATACACATATTTTTCATTTTTAGATAATATTAAATATTTGTCGTAGAAAAAGTTTAGTATGCACTGAAAGAGCAGTTTATTTACAATTAATGATGTTTTAATTTTGAGTTAAGTATTTTTTATAAATTAGTTTATTTATAATTAACAAATTTTATTGTTAATAATTGTATTTAAATTAATATGTACATATACAAGGTGTGTTCAGAAAATATCGGGAATTTTCGTTTTTCGAAACAAATATTTATTTATTCGTCTACATTAATGATGTCGCCTTCAAAATAGTTCCCATTGGATATTATGCACAAGTGCCAGCTCTTCTACCAACACTTCTAAAACTCGATCTTTAGGATAGCTTTAGTTCTTTCAGCGATGCGCTTTTAATGTCATCTATGCTTGCAAAACGACGGCCCTTTAAGCTTCTCTTTATTTTTGGGAATAGGAAAAAATCAGACAGAGGCATGTCTAGCGAATATGGAGGCTGGGGCATCATTACAGTATTGTTTTTGGCCAAAAATTTTGTTCAAAATTTAACAATTTTAGAACAAATTTTGCTGCCATGCATTTCATACCCAAAACATTTGAAAAAATTTCATGGGATGAGCCAATCGATATACCAACATCATCAGCGACTTCTCTGATGGTTTATAACCATTTCTTCCACTTTTTCCATGTTTTTATCGGTTGTTAATGTGCTTGTGCGTTCGGGGCGTTCGTCATCTTCAACGTCTTCACGGCCATCTTGGAAACCCTTATACCACTTGTAAACTCTTGTTTTACTTATAGCACACTCACTATAGGCCTTTGTTAACATTTCACAGAATTTATTTCATTTTTTAAGCAAAATTGGATACAAATTTTTTGATCCATTTCTTTTAACGAACGAAAAATCGCCGAGCTCATAAAACACGTCTAACCTTAGCGGCTGCCACAGACAAAGTAAACAATGAAAACAGCTAAAGTTTTTATCATACTTCGGGGGTATGTATACCATCATAATAAAGAAAATTTTATGACAACCTAACCCGCGAAATTTAACAATTCCCGTTATTTTCTGAACACACCTCGTATATTTGCAATAAGTATGGCATATCCTTGTCAATCTCACAAGGGATGTATTTTTTTATAATTTTACAAGAGAGCATATTAAAACTTACTGCAGCTTAAAAATATACTAAAATAAATTTATAAAATTATTATGGTTTATATCTGGAATTTTATATGTTAATCGAACTATATTGTTAAACCGAATATTGCAGTTATTTTTAAAATGATCTTCTGCAGAAGATGTATAATTTAAAAAAATGAGATTGTTAGATTGACGACAATATGCTTAATTTATTGTAAATATATACATATTTATTACAAATACAGTTCTGTCTTAATTATTTACTATTAATCATAACATTTGTTAACCTAAATATTGCAAGCAACTAAATACGAATATAATGTATATTTACATTAAATTAATAAATGATTTTATTTGACACAAATTTAGTATATTAATAACAAATAAACTCCACCCAAATAAATATTTTTTTTATAAAAAATAAATTAAATTTCAGAATATATTCTTAATTATTAACCCTAGTATTTCTTTCAGTGTGAAATTTATCAAACTTGATACATAATAGGCTATTATGCATCCCAGCTCTTTTGTAGAACGTAGAAATTTCGATCACAAAGCGGACATTTAAAAAAAAATTAGCACAACCAATTTATTAAAAACAACATATTTGGTACTATTTTAACAGTTGAATGATATGCATATTGTAACGTTTTTAACTGTTCGTAGTGTGAATAAAAACACGCACTGGTTAATTAACGAACTTAACTATTTATTTAATAACTTAACTACACTTAAAACACTATAAAACTAACTAAACACTTAACTACTAATTATTTATATATCACTATTGTTCAAGAGTCTATTTATTTGCACTTATATTTATTTATTTCGCCGCGAGTACCAAATCTTAACTAAACTGCCGTGTGCTGCTCCGTTTCTTATATATTCAGCGCCAAGGTCTTCTGGAACATTCCAGCGAGCTCCACACGCTCGATTGTTCGAGCGCTGAGTCACCGGCGATGACTCATGGGCGATGACTAACCGGCGATGAGTCATCACTCCGATATCCAGAGCGGTACTCGCTACAATATTAACAATTTTATAGCGGTAAACGCTGATTCACATCTGGAAAAAGGTGATTCCCGAAATATAATTTACAAATCAAATTTATTCATGACTAATTTTGCATTTTCTTCCTTGAAAAAGTTTCTACTCATACACAATTATTTTATAATACGATTATTGCGCGTAGTAGTATAAAATATCTACTCGATGTTTTTTATTCGTTATTGTAAACCGACAATTCTTGAAGGTTAGCCAGAACAATACCCGTTTGCAATTACGATTAACAGGAAATATTTCAGCTAAAAAATAATAAAAGAAATAAATTTTCGAATGGGTAAACATTTACATAAACCAACAAGACTTTTAAACGACCAAAATAAGTTATCTACTCTTTCTTGTTTTACAAGACAATAAACTTTAATGTTCATTTCTTTTTTTATTTGTTAATGTTTTGGTACTTGTAAAATAGAGTTTTATTATGTTTAGTATGATATAGAAATTAGCCAAAAATATCGTCATGTTTGTATTTTTAGTCGCAATTAAGTCGACTTTTCTTTTTTTTCTGAATACAGAACAAATTATCTGTATTTGGCAGCTTATTATTATATTAAAATTTTTAAAATGTTTATAGGTCTGTATCTGGCGTAGATAAGTTTTAAACGAATTACACTTAACTTATAATTATTTCCTATTTTTAGATTTGTTTTTAGAAATAATTGTAGATGCCTGTAAACAACATCCTTCTCGGAAAAAACCTGAGAAAATACAATAAAATTATTATGGAAAATACCTCAAGAAAATTATTTATAAATATTTTTATTGAATATATTTAAATTTCCAATAAAAAACTAATTCAAATGTTAGGATTGTCACTTAATGTAATCAATATTAACACCATTTTAAAACTTTATTAATACCTACTTCTTCAAACATCAATGGAAATGGATATATGGGGCATTCCAAATCGATCACCTTTAAATTTTTATATGATTTAATAAACTCCTAAAAACGTTTCTGTAAGATTTTTTTATATTTTTTTACCAAGCGAATTTTTTTTCAAATGCTCATTATTTTTTAAATAAGTGACTAATTAATACCTTCTTTATTTTTCGTTAGTTAGTTTGCTAGTTCGATATTTTTAATTAAAAAAAAACCTCTGAATTATAATGCGTTTATTTTTTTAGATGCCATAAGGGCCAACTTTATATGGGTCATTCCATCAAGTAAATTTTTTTTGGAGTGACCCTCAGTGAGTCATTATTTCGATTTTGGAAATAACTCCACAAAATTAAAAAAAAATTGTAATTAATGGAATGACCCATATACATTTATTTAAATTTATTTGATTATAAAAAACAAGTTAAATTGGTAACAAATAGACAGAAAATCAGTTTTTCATTAAACAAAAATCACAGAAACGTTTTTAGTGGGGTAGTATAAAATTTAAAAAGTTTAGCAAAATCGTAACTTAAAAATTCAAATAGAAAGTGGGGGCTTGTTATACGATTTGAAAGGAATCTATTTAACAGCCAATTCTTATGTAAAATTGTCCCTTGAATCCGAAAATGTCGTCAAAAGTTAAAAAAGTAGAACAGTTTTTGAGATATAGTCAATTTTCCATTTAATATGGAATTGACTATATCTCAAAAACTGCTCCACTTTCATAATTTTTGACAGTATTTTCGGATTCAGGGGACAATTTTACATAAGAATTGGCTGTTCAATTTTAAGATACCATGGTACAAGTGAAAAAGCAGCCACTAATAACTATTAAATTAGTCATTTTTGACTAATTTATTTTTAGAGTATAAAAGGACTAATCTCCCATTGATTTTTAAATGCATTAATTAAAATTTGTAATGCGTGTTTAATTCGGCAAATACACATCTTACAGAAGATGAAATCACGAAAATATTTGACCTTTAATAGTAACAGAAATGCCAATACAATGTCGTGTGATGATGATGTTTCCAGGTACCTCTACGTGTAATTTGGGTTTAATTTTTCTTTCGCAATAAAAGAAAGGATTCAATCCATGCCAAGTCAAGGGCAATCGTTTTTATAATCCCTTTTTAGATTATTATTAGTAGGTAACATTAAATTTAATGCATGCATATCAGTGACCTATTTTTTTAAATTCTCTTTTGGTTATAAATCACAATAAATAATTAAAGTAATCGTATAATTTATTTGAAATTACATTTTTTGGCTAAAAAACTTTCTCGTGGGATTTGATAAAAATAGGAAATTCCAGTTTGTGCCATAAATGAATGTAAAATTATTCACACGCGATAATAAAACGTATAGGTTAACCACAAACAAAGCATTTATGCATTATTAAATCGATCCATTTAAAATTTATTAAAAATGTTTGTTCCAGGTAATGGTAACCTTCCTGTAACCAGAGGACCCCAAATTGTGATAAAGAAATAATCTGTGATACAAAAAATCAAAATGGAACAAATAGTAACAAATTCCACAGCCCAGATCTGGGAAAATGACTTGATAGTTGCCAAAATAGTGTCTATGAGTGTGCTAGGGGTAGTGTCGTTTATATTAGGACTTTTACCAATCAAACTAACCAAATTGATATCGATTAAATCGGTGGACGGAGATAGGAACTTGCTGGTATCTTTGTTGCTTTGTTTTGGTGGCGGAGTGTTGTTGTTCACCACTTTCATCCATCTGCAGCCGGAAGTGAGGTCGAGCTTCGCAAAGTTGGAGGATGATCATGTTGTACCCGATTTGGGAATTCCTTTCTCGGAGTTGGTGTTTTGCGTGGGGTTTTTCCTGGTGTACTTCATCGAGGAAGCAGTGCACATCTTCCTGCACAAGAAGAGCGACAGCACAGACTTGCATAGAACCCTTTCAATGAGGTGTTCCAGAAAAGCGAAAACCCTGACGATACCGAGAGTCGCGCTCAACAAATTCGACGACGGGAACCTGAGCTACATCAGCACCTCGAACAAAGAGCTGCTGAACTCGACTAGCACGGTCAGCTTCGAAAAATCCGACAGCCACCATGCTCTAGACGACGAGCTAAAGAACTCGTTCAGCGGATTTTTAGCGGTGTTAGCTCTCAGTTTCCACGCGGTTTTCGAAGGTTTAGCGGTCGGTTTGGAGGGGTCCGTGCAGAAGGTTTGGTACTTGTTTGCCGCCATCGGGACGCACAAATTCGTGATCGCTTTCTGCGTTGGCGTTGAACTGGCCACCTCCAAGACTAAGACTGCTCTCCTGCTGCTCTATATTGGTCTGTTCGCCATTGTAACCCCACTAGGTAAATATACTTTCAACCAAACACTGATGCATGTAGTACTGTTTTTTTTGATCCAGGAATTGGTCTGGGGATTATTTTGAGTGATACTGGCAGTACCTCAGAAGACATGATTTCAGCTGTTTTGCAAGGAATGGCGGCTGGTACTCTTCTTTACGTCACTTTCTTTGAAGTACTAGCCAGAGAAAGGAGCAACAAACATTGTGGAATTTGGCAGTTGATTGCTATAATAGCTGGATTTGGTGTCATGTTTATGCTACAAGTGTTAAGTAAGTGATTTTTTTTACAATTTCTGTAAACACAATACGCGAAAGCTGAGTAGGACAATAAATCTTCGCACAGTAGTTTAAAATAAAAAAAAAATATGGAAAGTAGTATAAATTTAAGAAATGATGCATAAAACATTTCTTAAAGCAACATTTTTATGTATATATGTAGGTATTTTTTTGCATCTTTGATTCTAAAATTGGCCAGTTCCTTATGAAGCAGTTTAAATACTGTTATTTAGTTAATAATTAAAATTATTTTAAAGAATAACCTGATGCCTTCATGCGTTCAAATTTAATTAGTGGAAGCGTTTCGTTTACGGATTCTACGCGGGTGTAGCGGAGTCCTATTAATACATTTCGCATTCTATTGTCTGAAAAGAGAATCTTAAAACAATACCGACGGTTGCAGGAAGCAAGCAATGAACAATGAAATCTTTTTTATCGTGCCTTAAACAAATTACGTTCATTTTTACAAGAGACTTGCGGTGATTTACGTTTTTAATTCGCACACCATGCAATGATTTAATGGCAACAGCGCAATTATAAAAGAAGAAGATTTTATTTTGAAAATCTTTTGCTGTAGTATATATAGAGAATTTAAACTAAGAAAAGTGAAATAAGTTTTTACAGACATAATAAAGATGACGCAAGATTTGATAACACTTAGTTGTTTTCGAATTAAATAAGACATAAAGTAAGTAGGTACTTAAAAACTGGGGAAATGTCAATTAGCTGAAGCGACGAAAACATCCGGTAAAGTGCGTTTTAATGCGCAAAAAATCTTGTGAAATATTATTTATTAATTTTAACTGGTTCAGCATGGGTTAGTAACCTTAATTAGTGCTTGCTTTAATTATTCTATCGACTTTTCAAGGTAAAGTTTTTTGTAAATATCACGCCAATCCATACGAGTTTGTTATTAAATTTTTTTTTCCTTCGTTTTACAAACAATTTTTGAGAACGCTACAGCGTTTTTAAAAACGCAAGATGACCTTGAAGAGAGCGCGTGACGTCACGATGTTATAACAGATGTGTCAAGAATTACGAATAATCCCAAGATCTGTTTCCAGCACGGTCTTGCGTACGTACGTACAATACCGTTTCCGGTTATGTTCAATATTCTTCGAAGTATTTAAATCGTTTGAAAGTAAATACTGGAGTTGCAAATTTTCATTTTTAAAAATAATGTTGTTAACTTTAGACTAAAATACGCTGTTAATGGTTTTTGGTTATGTTCGGATTTTTATTTTTGCAAATTATGCTTTATTCGTAAATCTTGGCACGCCTACTTTATATTTACTAATTTATATTTTCAGTGATTTTAAAGGAAAATGTATATAAATGATTTTGAGTAGGAAATTTAAAAAAAAAAATAAAAATACCCATAAAATCCACAAAACACTTAAAAAGACAAAAAATAAATGTATAACTTTTTATGATAGCTTAAACTATAAAATTTAGTTTTGCTGTTTCAAATTTTATTACATCATATATTTGTAAATATTGTTGTAAACAATAAAACCAGGAAACAAATATTACAAAACAATTATTAAGCAAAATCGTTAAATAAATAAAAAAACAGTTAATAATAATGCAATTATTTATTTTTAACGATAAAAATCCAATTATTTTTTTAATCTTTTATAAGTGTCCATTATCTGGTTTATTTATTTCTTTAGTCACGATTTTTATTAAGTACCTATTATTATTAAAATTTATATTTTTTACGACAACATTGAATACAGGGCTTTTTATTAACCACCCTTAATAACTTTTGAGTTTTAGTAAAATTTTTTCATGGAAAATTTTATCACGAGTATCGGAAAGACTTTAGAATTCACGAATATTTTTTTAAATTAGAATTAACTGCCGATTCAATTTCTGTATGATTTTTTTTTACCAAAACGCATGTTTTTTACATTTTTATTTTACAAAATAATCTTTTAAATACACATTGACAAGATAGTATTCTTGTCAACAAAATAATAATAATAAATTTCTTTAGCAAAAACCTTAAAACAAGCTTAATATTAACGTTTCAGATGTTATATACTTTGTTGTAAACCTAAAAAGTTTGCATTGTTTTAAATATTTACCAGGTTTGCTATAGGTTTGAACTTTATGTAGGTCGGAAATGTTAAATATTTAACTTATGAGAAACATACATGGCATATACGTGAATATTTTACTTCTTGCAGAAATACCTATTGGTCATGGTGAGTGCAGAAATAAGTGCAGATTGTGTGAATATTTATATTAAAGGTTAAAGTGTTTTGGAAGTATAAATATTAAATATTGATTTGGTTATTAGTACATTTCTTATAAACATTAGCATGCAGTGTTTAGATAACGCAGACGACCTCATGAAATAAAAATGCCTATAAGGTCAACGATAAAGAATATACGGGTTATTCATTTACATTTAAATTGTTATTTGAAACATTAATTTCTACAGAAAATTCATATAATTTTCGATGTAAAATCACTATTTTTGGATGGAATTTGGAGATTTTCTTTTTTCCCTTTTATAATTCCATAATGATTTTAAAAGTAAATATAATTTAATTATTTTATTATTAAAAAATACATAATAATAATAATAAAAAAAATAAAGGTAATTAATATCTATAAAAAAGATTTATAACCACAAAATATAATAGTACATTATGCATTAAGTTTTATAAACTCCATTTTAGTTAGGAGTTTAATTAAGCACGAGCGAAGCTTGCGAGCGAGTGTTTAATAAAAGCGAGTGTATAAAGAAGTTTATAAACGATTTCAATTTTTTTTGACTTCCAAATGAAACCTTTTTTGGCAAACCATTTATATTTATGTTCGTTGAATTCCGAATTATCGTCATGACTAACCAACACCTACTATCTCCTACACTAATATACAAGTAGTTTATTATTAAACAATAGCCAAAAATTTGCATAAAAAAATAAAAATGTATTTCTAATCCGTATTGTTTATTTAAAGCTATACTAAACAAACAATTTTCTGCTATGATAATAATATTAAGTTTTATATAATATAAGCGTTTGTCAGGGACACACAATTAATAATAATTGTTGTATTTATATGTCATTAATAATTCAGGATCAAGACAAAATATTTGTCCACACTCACGTGGAATTTAGACATTATGTATATATATACAGTGTGACCCATTTGTTTGCGACTCACCCCTGTAACATCTTAATTATTGTGCGATTTTAACGGGATTTGTTTTAAAGTTTAGATCTTGATAAACTGTATTTTTGAAGCATAAAACAAGGCCTACTAAGTCAGTTTTTAAGAGTAAATTTAAGAATTCATATTGGCGATTTTTTTAAACAAAATCTAAGCACGGCACTGGATTCACCACCCCTCAAAACGACCCTATACTAAAGTATAAAAATGCACAATAATAACTACAAAAATTTATTTTGTCAAGATATCCATGAAAAAAACATTGAAATAAAACTAAACTAATAGTAACTTATAAAAAAAGTTAAGAAAAATCTGACGAAAAATAAAAACCTATTTTACAAATAAGTATTATCTATTTAATTTTTGGAATACTAATTTTTTTAACTACTTTTGAATATAATGGAGTTATTATTGACACATTAATTTGACATATGATTCAATTTCAGAAAATTGTATGTGTTTGTTGTTTTATGCGCAATAAACATGTGGTATTTTTAGATACATAAAATTTACCACAATGATTTACCTAGAAAAGGTAATTAATACGGAACTTTACATTTTTACGCATTCGCAACATGACCTTTCCTATGGTGACTAACAAATTTAATGTATTTTTTTATTGAAAATATTTCTTATTAGTTTTACACGTTCTGATTTAAAAAAATGATGATTTTAAAATAATCACCCGCCTGAGGTAAAATTAGTCAAAGATGGGTAATGCATTTAGTATTTCCCGATGATGATTTTTTTAATTTTGAATTATTAATAAATTGTTAACTTATATTAACATAGTCACGTGGCGGTATTTTAGAAATCAGCAAATCAATGTCAGGAAATAATTTCTAAATTAATTATTTGACAATAATTGAGAGAATAAAACAAAAACTAATTTTGTAATTTAATTTGAAAGTACCTATAAATTTAACAAAAATAAGTTAAAACTTGTCAACAATAATAATGCAATTCATTGCGCCTTACAAGACAAAGTTAATTTTGCAAGTGTATGGTTTAATTTGAAACAAATATTAATTTTAAGCCAAGTTTTATGTAGGTGGTAAAAAGCACCGTTTTGTGGTTATAATTCTATATAAAAGTTGGGCAAGTTTTGACCTCATTTTGTTTATATAGTTTTCGGAGAAAATTAAACAGTATTTTGTTATAGAACATAGATAATATAATAAATATACTGTTCTAGACCGGGCCAGTCACTTTTTCAAACGGTTTCTGAAATATCTGTGTTTTCTAAATTTGAATGCAAGGGAAGTGACGAGTATACCAGGGTACTAATTAAATACATAATTTATTGGAAAATATAAGATTTATTGCAACTTTGAGCATATTATACAATAAATATCTTAAAATCAAATACCACACATCAGTGGCGGCTGGTGGATTTTGGGTATACCGATATCTCAATTATTAGATATGGGACCCACACCAAATATATATGAGTTTATAATGATATTAAATAAACAAGTTTTGCGCAAGCAGAATTTAAATTGAAGTTTGCGAAAAATCTCTCTAGATTGATCTTTATGATGGTGCATTCTCTGATGATGAAACGTCGAAAGGTCAATTTGAGGATGCTGTCTGACTCAGAATTTCCTCAGGATTCCAAATATGTAAAAATATATAGGGCATTCCATTTAAAAATCGAAAGTTGCTATCATTTCCGGCGAAACCGGAAGTTCAAAAAATTCATTTTGTACTCTTATAAGTGGCATTTAATATCCTAATTAACCATGCTAAATTTCATGTGTCTATCTTTATAAATAAAAAAGTTACAGGGGTGCGCCTATTCTCAGATA